GAGATGACCGCACCGGTGATGCCATCAAGTTCATTCTGCCTTCGCTAGAGTCCGGGGAAAGCATCAAAAAGGATTGCTTGACGTGCGCACACTCCGTTCGCAAAAGCGCTAAAGCAGGCTTGCGATATCTGTCGAAGGAGAAGCGTGGGTGGCAACCTCGACGCACCCACAACGGTGCTGAAATTAGGATCTTCGGTTGTCACTCAAACTTGGCCTGCCCGGCTGCCGAGACTCCACCGTCACAGCGAGTCGACCGACCACAAGCACTGGCGACACTTGCCGACCTACTATCACTGTTGCCAACTGTCATCTCCGGATTTGACACCTCTCGGGGAACTTGTCAAGATTGCATAAGTCAAGAACGAGCTCCCCTACAATTTCTTTCTGTTTGCAACACTATCGAGACTTTTGGGTCTCGTTTTATGGACACTATCTGTCTTAATAACGCCTGTTGATAAGATACTGACTATCGTTGCCACGAGGTTCACTGGCGCAGAGCCTGTATTATTGGCAACGGACAGCACACAGGTATACGCTTCCTTTAAGTGGAGACGTCTGGTCTGGAACTGATGGAAATTCTACTTGACTTACACTTAAAGACATAAGTTTGCAAGCCGATGCAAGACTCGGCGATGCCCTGGGGCTGTTGGTAGTACGATGACTAAAGAGAGCTTGGCAGCGTCTACTGCGACAGTTGACATGCCCTTTGCGAGGGAGTCCTTCTCCCTGAGCTGACTGCTGGCACCAGACCCTTGTTGTTCGCATCTTGAGCATGTTCCTATTTGGCCCACCACAGAAAACACGTCCAATGCGCCTTGAGTATGCCAAGAACTGGTTCCACGGGACTCGCTGGCGTTTGATAAGAGACTACAACACCAATGCTCCGTTCTGCTCTCGCCTTCAGAGCCCTGCAGTGCTCGTCACATCCGGCCATCAATAGGGCGTCTTTCTCTCGAACAAAGTAGCTGTCAAAATCCACATCAAGCAGCCAATAGTGACAAACTCTAAACTTCAACGCACCGCTCTCAAGGAGAGGGCAGCTTCGGCCAGTATCTCTCCTGGTTCAAGAATAGACCCCCCTCACTCTGCAGCCCTCGCTAGACAAGACAGGTGGGGATGGGCTACACAATGTCTCAAAGTGCCGTCGCTCAATGCCGGTTTTACTAAGTCGACATCGGCGGTCTCGGGGGTTTCGAGGCGCCGAACAAGAGCAACTGTCAGACACCCCTGGGCCTCATGGAAGTCGTCAAAGACATCCCAAGGCAGCTCAGATATAAAATCCATTGAGCATGGGACATAACACTGTTATCTGCCTTTCACATTGTCTACATCGCTCAATCCCAGCGTCTATCCTCAGCATGAAGCCGCTCTCTCTTTTTTCGGCTCTGGGCAGCCTCTCCGGCGCTCTGGCCGCGTACTCGATCAAGCCGTGTCTTCTCAACGCGACTGAGCCTGATATCGTGTCGGGAGTGCTGAAGGTGTACGGCAACGACTCGTATCCGATTCAATTGCGGCGCCTTCTTCCGCTCTGTGCCCCAAGGGCTCGCTACACGGGATTCAACACCACATCGACAGTGCTGAAGAAGGGTACCATTCGGAGGGAGGGTGCCAAGGCGCTCGAATCTGACATCCTTTTCGAGAGAGATGTTGCTGTCAAGTTGCGTGATGGCACCACCATCTACACCGACATCTTCAGGCCTGTGGGCAACGACAAAGTCCCCGGCATTGTGTCATGGAGCCCCTATGGGAAGGAAGTTGGAGGCCAGTGGTTGGACGATCTACAAGGTCGGTCCAACGTTCCACTAAACTTGGTATCGGACCTGCAGAAGTGGGAGGCCGTTGATCCTGCGTACTGGGTCGCCCGAGGCTATGCGATCATCAATCCAGACACCCGCGGAACCGGTTCGTCGGAAGGCAACGTAACGTACTGGGGCCGGCAACTCGCCGAGGACGGGTACGACTTCATCGAGTGGGCGGGGACTCAACCGTGGAGCACAGGCAAGATTGGCATGGCTGGCAACTCATGGCTCGCCATATCTCAGTGGTTTATTGCCGTTGAAAACCCGCCGCATCTTGCTGCCATAGCTCCGTGGGAGGGTGCCACTGACATTCTGCGCGACGGAGCGGTCTCCGATGGTCTCGACAATCTTGGGTTCCAGGAGGCCATTATCACGACGCTCGCCGGTCATAACTACGTTGAAGACCCGCCAAGGATGATGCTTGAGGACAGTCTAGACAACCAATACTGGCAGAACCGGAAGGTGAACCTATCGAAGATCACAGCCCCAGCCTACGTTGTTGCGAGTTACACGAACGCGGTCCACACCCATGGCTCTTTTGATGGCTACCGACACATTAGCTCTCGGTCAAAGTGGCTCCGGGTTCACAACACGCATGAGTGGCAAGACTTTTACAGGCACTCCGACGACCTCCACAAGTTCTTTGAACGCTTTCTCAAGGGCGTGGATAACGGCTGGGAAAAGGACACACCACGCGTTCGACTGTCCATTCTCGATCCCGGCTTCGAGGACACTGTCGACCGCCCTGTCACGGACTGGCCGCTTCCCAATCTCGAGGCGTCAAAGCTCTACCTGGCAGCTAATCGTAATCTAACCCAAGCACTCCCCTCAACCGCGACGTCTGTCAGTTATGATGCCGAGACGATGGGCAACGTCACCTTCCAGTGGACCTATCCCGAGCTCACAGAAATCGTTGGCTACATGAAGCTTCGTCTCTGGGTGGAAGTAAACGGTTCGGATGACATGGAAATCGCGGTCAGGGTAGAAAAGCGGGCCGCCAACGGCACTGCCTACCCGGACCCTGCAGGCAGCGAGAGCACGGGTCCGGTCGGCCGCGCCAACATTCGAGTGTCTCGCCGTGAGTTGGATCTTGCCAAGTCCAGCCTGTTCGAACCATACCTCCTTCATCGTCGAGAGGAACTACTGAGTGAAGGCGAGATTGTCCCAGTGGACATTGGCCTGTGGCCTACGGCACTGCGCTTCCACCCTGGCGAGATTTTGTTCATCACCATTTCCCCGACGCTCTTGACGCCGGCTACTCTCGACATGGGATTTGGTGTTGGCGAAGTGCCTATCCCTGCAACAGGCGGCACCTTTGAGCAAGGTTCGAAGCCCGAGATCATCACGCTGGGCGGTGCCCGTGATTCTAATCCACCATTCGTCAACGCCCAGCGGACCGCGACAGCTACCACTCGCAACAAAGGACAGCACATCATTCATTTCGGCGGCGCGTTTGATAGCCACATCCTTCTCCCTGTCAACAGCGGCCTGTAGTCCTCAGGTAGCATATATCTTCTCACGGCCTTTAGAAAGGCTAGGGTGACCAACTCAGATCTCGTGGCTCGATTCGATAACTCGACTTGAAAAAGCTTCCTCCTTGCATGTGTACTAACCAGTGGCTGACGCGCTCGAAAGTGACCCTTGATGCCCCGTTTCGCCGAAATCCAGCCCTTTCGACCAGCTTGACGACTGTCTATCTCGACGAAGTTTCCTCGGTGCAGGAGCTGGATGACTCTACGCTTCTGGGTCTTTGCTGCGCGATACTCTTCCTGGCTTTCTTCGGCCTGCTCCTGACTGAGTGATGGTCGCAGTCCTTTTCACTTTCGCCAGGATCCTGGCGCATCGCCTTCTATCTCATGAGGGGATCATGGAAAGTGCTCCGTACTCTGCGGCGATAGAGATGGCTTGGATTGCCTACTCGCTGTGTCTATCGAGGCCTATGGTTGTCCTTGGTCTTTTCACGCTTGGGAGTGCGCATCGGAGAGTCAGCCTTCGCTTTTGCTCCTCCGATGGCTGTAGCATCAAGGCCAGGTTGAGAGAAATGATGACAGGAGGTTCTTCAGGCGGCAAGAGCGTCTTGGAGTTGGTGCTAAGCACCTTTGTACCCTCGCTACTAGATACCAGACGTTTCGCAAGCTACGAAATGGTTTCGGGGTTTTGTGACAGGCTTTAACTCTTGACTTGGCGACCTATACGCCGATTCGCCTCTTCCCCACCCGCCAAAAACCATCGCGGTCCATCACCATCCAAGGGGGCGTTTTGGTCCAACACGCTCGAAACAGGCCCAGATCCCTGACCAGGTTCCGATCACCCAGAATCTTTTGCTCGCACTGTCTTTTGGCCTGCTCTAAAATTGATAGAGCATGAGGTGTCCTGGCTATGTATGGGATAGTCTGTGATGTCTGTCAAAGGTGGAAACGGGCTCGCCAGAAGAGCGACGGATTACTTTCTTCCCCCCTTCGCAATCTGTAGAGCCTGCGGAAACGATCTATGGATGCGAATAGGTCTCCAGCTCGAACCCTCGAAAAGAAAGCCTCAGCTCGAAGCGTCAGCAAGTGACGATGCTGCAAGGAGAGCAATCACCTTGTCGCACCACGGCCCAGCAAGAATAAGCTTGACAGCCACGCTAGACCACTAAACGCAAGTCAGGCGTCAAGTTATGAATGTTCTATTTGTGGTGGCTCTATGATGCCTGACATGGTATTCGAACACATCGACTGGCACGCTGCGCTGGATCTACAAGCAAGAGAAGATTGATGAGAACACCAAAGCAGTAGTTCGACAACGGTTAAAGGTCAAAAAACCTCCCCTAGGCTTAGAATCCTTTCGCAGAAGTTATTCTTCTTCATCAGACCGCGAGGGCAGCAAAGACACCTATCTACTTGGTAGCTATAATCCCACTAAAGCTATGGGAACAGAATAGAACTTGTCCAACGTTTTTGATTCCACTCCTGTGGGCAGATAGTAGTAGTATTGATGCTTTGCAAAGAAGTTGAAGTCAGGCCTGCTGGCTAGTGGAAGAAATTGGTAGTTTGATTGCAAGAGGTGAGCCAAACATGTTTTGTTAGGGGAACAATCGAAGGCTTCATCTCACTGATACAAGATGTACGTACCTCTCTGCCATCGCCAGCATCGTTCTATTGTGGAACAAAAGAGACTACAATGTTTGATACTTGATCGTCACATCGAAAAGCAAAAGAATGACCAACGCGGGGCTCGAACCCGCAGCCTTCAGATCACCACAACTCTTGAAGAGAAGGTAGAAGTCTGACGCGCTACCATTGCGCCAGCCGGCCAGTTGTTGGGAGACGAGAACATCTCCCAGGTGGAGTTGACGGCGAGCGACGGATGTGCAACTATGTTTGCCTGGTGCTGGGCCAGACTGATTCCTGTTGACTCACCGTACCCATTTGGTGCACAATCTCGAACACCCAAGGTGGCACTTTTGCTACTAGTTAGTGGGGTCCCTGACGCAAGGATTCGTTGCCGGGATCCTTCGTGTTGTTGAGTGCCTGCACCTTTTCTGCTTGCCTTGTGCTGCGGGATATGCAGCTTTGACCAAGGCAAACCCCCGCCCAAAACCCGGGCGCGGTGATCCATCAAGCATTGGAACAAATGAGTTGGAGCTAGACGATGGGGCCGAGCGGGTTCCATGTGGGCGTCGTGCAAGGAACCGAGAAAAATAAGGAAAGAAAATTCTTCAGAAAAATTCTCCTTCTCCAGAGCCCCAGAGCGTTCCAATTACGCGAAGCAAGGGCCGACAAATGTACGGATACAAGACGCCGAACCCATGCGGAGCCTCCGCTCTTCCGTCTCACACGGAGTCAGACATTCCAGAACTTTGTCAACCAAGGGACTCGCAGGTACAGGACTGTGCAGAATCGGAGCTCCGCTGACGTTGGGCGTGCCCCGAAGCTGGTGTGCCGATGGTGTGTAGCCGCCCAGCACGCCTCTTCAAACCCACCCTTTGCGTCCGTCCGCTGCAAGCACTTGACAAAGTGATGCCGCCTCCCGGCAGCACCTCCGGTCGACCGCTCCATAGAATCACGTAACGAAAACTCACCCTCCGTCCACGACTGCACGCAGCACCCCCGGAGGGGTCACTCGACACGCCCCCCAGCACCGGCAGCCACCGATCCCGAACCCAGCTTTCTCGATGTGCGCTTGCGAACCATCGAAGGTCTCGTAAGCCTGCGAGAACCATCCAAGACGGCCGGCTCCGATGCAGACGAGACCGAACGACCGTCCCCCGGTCTTGGTGGTCGCTGGCGTTGCAGATTCCTGACACGGTTCCTAGCATGACTTCGGCCTGACGTGACTCAGGGGGAGCGCCCAACCAACCTCTCCAGTTCCCAAGGCCCGATGCTCTTACCTAAGTGATGCACTCGCGGAACGTCATCCGAAGGCGTGGTGAGGTGTGTCGCGGCGGCTGGACCGCGACGCTGACCGGGCCGGTGCGCCCGGCCACACCCTCCTACGACCGCTGACACCGCTTGCGGTTGCGGCTCACTCACCGCGCACTATCGTGAAGAATTTCGGCGTCATCCATTTTGAGATGATGGCGCCATCTAAGCTGTACCGGGATGCGGTTGTCTCCAAGAACCTACTACCAGCGAGGCATTACTTACCGTCTCACCGGCAGTCGCCTTGGTCGGCGTGCTGCCGTCGTGCGCCCGTTCTGTGCTCGCTAACTCGAACTCAACTCGTCAAGCTCAAGCTTTCCGGCTCTCAAGGTCAGCAACACGGTCGTCAGATTTCCCGAACTTGGATCTTCTTCACCTTGGAGATCCGTCCCGAGCCCAAACCCAAGGCCCGAGGGGACCCGCCACCGACGTGGACGTTCTAGACCTCCAACCCTCCACGCCTTTCACTCCCGCGGGCAACGTCTCCAACTTCTCCAAGCACCACCCCCCCAACTTGGGGTTTTCGTCATGTAATTGTTGGCTAAGATCAACTCAATAGCCTCATCGGAACCCATGAACCGTTTAGCTCTTCGGGACTTTCCCGTCCCAATAAAAAAAACCTACAGCATGCCTGCTTACCGCCCGGCTACGCAAAACGTGGGATGAGCCGCAAGGTACGCAGAGGCGAAGTACCTCTTTTGCCCAAGGGTCTTGACTCACGATTTCACATGTCATCCCGCGCCTGTTCCGGCGCTGGCGTTTTGGTGAGGGGGGCAATGTGCGACGGTTGGTTCTGGAGTTGCTGTCTCCATCACCAACATGCATCACTCAATATTCTGCAGCTGATGCGCCTCAACGGAGAGCTTGGATTCACTCGTGCATGGAAAGTCCGTTTCTTTTCGAGTGGGTTGTAGAGTACAAGTCACACCAAGAATGCAAAAAGGTAACCGGCAGAGCAAGAGTGAGAGTTGAGCAGTTGATTAATCTTTGCGTTTGAATTATATCGTCGTCAGCGAGCTAGCTACTGAGAAGCCAATGCGACGGGAAGTGGCGGGTCGTCGTCATCCATCCGTCAGCTCTTTACGAATCTCCGCAAAACGCCTCGCAATGCAACCCGAATTCTCTCTCATGGCCATTTCACTAAGAAAGCCGCGTGCTCCTCTTCGTCACCAAGTTTCAAGAATTCCAAAATAATGAGTTTGAGACAAAGAGTCTTTCCCGCCAATAATAAACATCAAAAGAAAAAGAAAACGCGCCCGGTTCGTAAACCAGGGGGTATAATGCGCATAATTCCAAAGTCCCCCCTCCCAAATTCCAAAATAACTTTTTGTGTTCCCTTTCGTCCCTTCTCTTGCCAATTACTGTGATTTCGATTAAACCTCCTTCGTTCTCCTCCTCTATGCTGATGGTGATGTGATGGATCCCTCCCTGCTATGCGCAGTGCCGTTGTGCGCCTGTCCGTCGAGGTGCTCGAGGCTGACGTAGTCGACCGGGGCCGCCTCGTCGGGGTAGGCGGGCGGCGAGGGGGGCACGTCCTGGTAGACGGGCGGCGCCTCGTTGTCCCAGCTGACACCGAGGCCGGGGCACTCGGTGAGCATGACGTGGTAGTGCATCCTCAGGATGCGTCCGGTGCCCGTCTGGGTCGCGAGGTGGGGCTTGCCGACGGGGGCCCATTCCTTGGAGACGACCATCTCGATCATGAGGGCGTGGGTGACCTCGGTGCCGTCGAGGGACTTCATGTCGCAGGCGTAGCGCGGGCCGTGGCTGTGCTTGCTGGCGACGACGCCGTAGTCGAACTCGAACTCGACGTGGCTGTCGGTGCTGTTGTAGTCCGACTTCCAGCCGTCGTGCATGTACTTCTCGCCGAGGACGCGGGTCTCGGTGCGGGGGACGCCCTTTTGCTGGTTCGTCTGGGTGCCGGCGGGCGTGTGCTTGTCGCAGGCGGGCGCGACCGTCTTGATGGTCTCCTCGAGCTTCCACGTCACCTTCTTGAGCTTCCAGAACTCGATCGTCTTGTTGGTGGTGTTTGCGCTCGTCAGGCCGTCCAGGCGGAACGAGACGTTGTGGGTGCCGGCCGGGTGGATGACCTGGCTGTAGTGGGCGCTGGCCTTGATGTTGGTCGGGGGGAAGACGCGGACCGAGTGGTGGGGGAACTCGGGCTGCGGCAGGGAGCGCTTGACGTCGAAGTTCTGCTCGAACTTGATGGGCGTCTGCGAGCCGGGGGTGCCTTTGACGAGCGTGGCCTCGGCCTTGAACTCGTAGGCGATGGAGGTGATGGGGGTGTCCATGGAGGCGGGGAGGTGGCCCTCGAGGAGGATGGAGAAGGGGAACTGGTGCACGCCCCTCTTCAGCGTCGTCGGGTGGGTGAGAAACGTCCAGCGCTTGAGCTCGGTGTACTGGTTGGCGCACTCGCCGCAGTGGTTGGTGAAGGGGCGCTTGTGCTGGACGTGGATGTTGAGCTTGGCCTCAAAGGCCTCGACCTGGAGCTGCTCGTCCTTGACGTCGAGCTGCATCTGGCCCGACACCAGGGCGCCGGTCGACGTCTCTGCGTCGCCGAAGAAGACGATGGGCGGGCTCTCGATCTTCCAGTCGAGGCTGGCGTGGGAGTTGTCGTGCGAGTCCTTGCTGGAGCGGCCGAAAGGAAGAGAGAGGCGGTGGTGGTGGTGCTTCTTCTCCTTCAGGTGCTCGACGGGCTCTGCTGCAAACATGTTGTGGTAAGGGATGTGCTCGCCGTCATCGGATGAGTACGACGAGTGGCGGTCGAGGGGCAGCCTGCGCAGCAACCCCTGGTCTTGGACGTTGGCGTTGTTGTTCTTGTTGTGGTGCTGGTGCTGGTGGTGATGTGACTGGTGGCGGATGGTCTTCAGGTTTGCAATGGCAGAGACGCTGAAGTTCTCGGTCGAGTTGCGCAGGAAGTTTGCTACGCGGTGGGGCATGATTGGATGCGGGCGTCTTCCCCGGATTTCGACGGCGAGCGGAATCTGCTGGGGTTGTCGGTTGCAGTCTTCTTCTTGTTCAACCTTGGCTAAGATGGGTGACACCTTAGGCAGGGGGGAAAGGGGGGCGGATGAACCGCGAAATAAGTAAGGTGGTGTGACGTTCTTTTTCTTTCAGGGCGCAGGGCCGCCCGAGGGAAATATGGGCTCCGTCAAGAGGAAAAGGACAAAATGAGTCGATTCGCCGGATCCCGAAGGATGGGCGAGCTTGATGCGGGCGCGCGCAGGGCCTTTTGGCGAAGGGGCCGTAGAAAAGGCTAGGCCGACAGGGCTAGGGGGGGCGGTGAATGTGGGATGTGTAAGTGCAAGTGATGAGCTGATGTGCGGAATACGGCAGAGGTCTGCTGATGTTTCCTTGACTGATGACTGATGACTGATGACTGATGAGAGTAATGTAGTGGATGGGTCTGATGGCAAGAGACGACGATGCCCGGGGCCCTCTCTTCTCTTTGTACTTGGACTGATGAGAGAAGAAGAGTGTGGGGAGAGAAGGGGGCTTGTGTTGACGAAAGAGCTATTCTCGAACCCTTGCAAGCAGTCCAGGTGATGTGGTGGTAGGGGCACAAGGTCCAGTCCAGCGTTGCGGTTTTGTCCTTTGCCCGTTTGGGGGTTTTGGCGTCGAGCAGCCAAGAAGGAAGCTTGTTTTGGCTGGGTTGTGGTGGTGGGCGGGATCTGCTTCCGCTATGTGCCTGTGTGCGTCGAGGGGAGGGTCAGAAGAGACGAGATGAAGAGACCCGACTGCGACTGCGACAGGGTCAAAGCGACGGGAGCAATGATGCGGGGTGGCTTTGGCGTTCTTTTCTTTGCGTGCTCTGCTCTTCTGTTGGTGTTTGGCGGTGTTCAGCCAATGCCAGCCAGATGCGGTTTGGTCTTGGTGTGGTGGGATGAGTGCAAGTG